AAAAACAAAAAACATTTATATAGTAACTGTAACTGTAAAATTAAAAACACAGAACTAAAATCTAATTGTAAACGTGACGTTAAGTAAACTAATCGAAAAAAGAACTTTGGAATTTACAAATCAGTTATTTTAATTCGGAAGAGTTTTTCGAATGCGCTCTCTGCAGCGAAACTGTCATGGATAAATTCACTGTGAAGGAAATGTTCTACAACTAAGTGATACGTACGAAACGCTTTCTTTTTTCACTGATTGCAATTTTTATGCAAAATTAAAAAAAAAATAACTTATTTTTGATTTTTATATTATAAAACCAAAAACAAAACAATTATTTTTGATTTTTATACTATATGTCTTAGATAACAGCTATTGAAGACTTTTAGTTATAAAAGTCATCAATAAATATCAGTCAGTGATTTTTACTTTTATAAGTCATCAATATAAATCAGTCACCGACTTTTATTTTTTAAATCATTCGTACAAAAGTCATTAACATTTTTTGCAGTTAAGAAGGTATTGGGAAACACCAGATTACTACGACTTATACAAATGACTTTTATAAGCATGATTTAAAAAATAAAGGTCAGTGACTGATTTTTATTTATGACTTTTAAAATAAAAGTCTTCGATAACTGTTATCTAAGACATATAACTTAAAAATCAGAAATAACTGTTGTTTGCAGATTATTTAGATAAAAATCAAAAATAATCGTTATATTCGATTTATAAAATAAAAGAGGTAATTAAATAATAATCAAAAAAATAATTCTTAAGAAGCGATTTTTTTTAATAGTGGTTGTAACTGTTACGGTCTCTGGTTCTCTGCCTTTCCGAGGTTCGAACCTAGTCACCTCATATCTCAATGCAATTAGAGCAGTACATGTATGTAGCTATTATATCCCAGAATGGCGGCAACGTTAATCCGGATTAGTGGCGCAGTGTATCCTTTCAAATTGGCGCCCACGGCCAGTAAAACTTTTATTAAATTTTTTTCGTTTTCTCAGTTATTTTTTTTTCTAAATATACACTGATTAAAATATTTAGTTATTATTCTTGGTGTAGCAACGGTTATAGTAGCCAAATGTCATAGTTGGATATTTGGCTGTAATTACCAAACCACTATACTGAATGGCTCATACAGAAGTACAAACACAAAAAGTTCCATGTATTTTGCTTTTGCGTCGTGAACTGTCAAAATCTGTAAGAGTGTGTGTGGCAATGCAAACCAAATATTACAATTTGACATTCTAAGCCGTGTCGGAAAACTAGCATCGAAAATGAGAATAATAATTATAAATAATATTGAACTAAAAAATAAAAATTTAAAAATCAAATTTTTAGAGATTTATCCAGCTCGAGAACGAACCTGAGCCCTACTGAGTTGTATTGTGCAGCCACAGAGCTTTATTTACTTGTTTGCTTCGTTTATTTTACAGCTAATAATTAGCTGTAGGACTTAATTCGGATTAAATGCAATTAATTTCCGAAATAATATCGAATCAACGAGTTGATCTGAATCAACGCTGCCGTCTGTCTATACTTTAAGGCATAGTTAAATTTGAATTGCTTATAGCCTAGACAGATGCCAGAATTAATCCGGTTTAATGAGCTAATTCATAATCTCGATTAAGTGATAGATACAACTTTAAAAATTAATGCGGACCAGGGGAGATTTCGATGACAATCTGCGAAAAAAAAGAGGTTCGCTCTTTTATATTGCAATTAAAAACAAAATAAGCAAATTTGGAGGCCGGCGTATATATGTACATATGTAGCCAAGTGCTATTAAGGTATTGATACTGAATTAAACCAACTCAACAGGATCCAGGTTCGATGTCAGATGCAGAAAAAATTCAAAATTATGGAAAAAGCTTTTTAGTTGCATTTTATTAAATTTAGTATTTAATTCTAACGACCGGAATTGACCGTAACTCGTTCACTATGCAATACTGCCATCTATCAGGCTACAATTTTAATCGCATCCATTGCGTCGTTAACTCATTTAACGTTGCCGTCTGTTTATGTTTTTACACGCAAAGCTCATTGAACTGCTTCACTATGTGACAACTATCCAAGTCGAGTCAAGTAAAGCTTAGTATGCATAACTAGGCTTTTACTGTAGACTTTTTTGTTATAAATCTTTAAAATATTTTTTTTTTTGGAGAGATATGAGATGAATAAAAAAACTTTTTCGAAATTGTTTTAACCCTGCCATGCTCATGTACATAAATATGTATGATTGATTCTTCCAACCACAACAAGTACTTTGTATTTGTTATTTTCATTTTGACACGGAAGCACGGACTTAATATTAAATTCAAAATTATTGAAATAATTCGTAAATTTTGTCAAAATATTTTCTGTTATCTAATTTGCGGTTTTTCTCGATTTGTTTTTTGTATCCCTTATCTGTCTACAGGCACTGCAGAAAAGTGCTCCCAAACTGATACTCACAGAGATTACACGCATCTAAATAGCGCCCAAACCGTTCACCTCCGCATAGAACCCCATGCACAATACGGTACAATGTCCTGCATCAACTGTCCATCCAATTATCGTGTAATTATGGAGACCAACGGGCCGACTATTACCGAGCAGCCACCACCAGCAGCGGTGCAGCCATTACCTCCCGTACAATGTTCATGTCAGCGTATTTTTCAACAGCAACAACAGCATCCCCACCATCCACTGCAACAGCAACAGCAACAGCAACAACATCAACAGCGGAAGCCGCAACCACAAACAAGGCAGCAGCAATCGCTGCTATACCAGCAACAACAACAACAACATCGCCCAGAACAGCCTTTAGAACAGTTGGTAACATGCTTCCATCACCAGCCAGCAGAGCAGTCGTCAGCCAATAGCAGATCCAGCCCACAAGACTCTCAAAATTCGCAGGCTTCCACTGCCACCTCAGCTGGAGCATTTTGTAAAAGTTACTACCCACGATCTACATCTGAATCCGGTGGCCAGTTAAGCTGTAGGTGTCCATTCGAAATCTCCATATCATCGGCGCATCCCCCGGCTAGACCGTCCTATGCAATACGTCTGCCTAGTGGCATGGCGCCTGCGGGTAGTCCCGGCAGAAATTCGACAAGTGATGACGAATNATCGACGAGGAAGAAGAATGCAATGGCATGTATGGAGAGAACACCGACATCGTAACGGAACCGAGCCAATCGCAAACACACGTCTCGTCAGCTCAATCGGCAACAACCAATGCAACGAAGAAGAGTGATGGTAGAGAATGCAGCTGCTGCCATTGCCAGGCAATGCGTGACAAACAAAATTGCCTGACCATTGCGACAACGGATCAGGCGCAGGACCAGTACAATTGCAGAGAATTGGTAAGTGATACGATTTCGATTGGAAAAGGTCTGTGATATGTATTTGGCGCTGAGTTTCTCATTTCGACAGAAATTCTTTATCGATTCTATAATAATGGACCTGGATGCGATGGATAAGGCGCGGCGTAAAAAACAAATCGAACAGGTAAGGACGCGAGATGTGTTATTATGAATTTATTTTAAGGAAATCTGCCGTACGTACATGTTTACGTTTGTGTTTAACCCTAGGGCTTTCATCGTGGACAACTACTCTACAATTCTTAAAGTTGTTAGACAAAAATAAAAGATATAATGATATGTTCATAGGCTTCTAGGAAACGGCTCTAAGAATTATGATGAGATTTGGTATTCTGATGTTTTGCATTTTCTTGCATCTAATAATTTCTTTAATATACCTTTTATGCCTTGCCTTTTTGCTTCGCTGGTTTCTTTCTAATAATTATCTGTCATTCCGCCATTTCCAGTTATTCGTTTACTTATAAATTGACTTTTTATCACTACAACATCTCTAATTTATCGAAAACTCACTGAGTGCATACAAATCAGGGAGGAAAATGACATTTTAATTTGAGGATACTTTTTTATCTAAAAACAAGAAAGAGGTAACTACGATAAATCGAAAATAGGTAAAGCTCACCTACAAAGCGATATTTTTGAAAAATGCCAAAACTGTCATATTTCTCAAAATTAAAATTCGTAACAATTTTATAATCTTTTGTGAAACTGGGCATGGCACCGCCCACTTATAATAAAACGTGTCTATTTCATCTCGCATTTCTTTTTGTGATCATCCATCGCGAACAAGTAATTTTTAAGCAAAAAACAAAACCGACTTTAATTCCCATATACAAATTTAAGATTATCGTTAATTTCTTCAAGATCCAATGTTCGGATCTAAACCAAAATAGTATGGGACCACCCTGGAGGTACCAACTTTTCCTTAAAAAGAAGAATTATAGAAGTCGGTTAATGTGGTCCCAAGTTATGCGGTAACATATTTACATAATAAAATAAAATATTCCGACGAATTGATAACCTTCTCCTTTTTTTGAAGTCGGTTAAAAATACCGATAGAATCACAAAACTTTTACCGTACTATTAGAAAATCGCGTTGAATTTTAATATTTTTTCTCCCATATAAAGTATGCTCGACAATTACTTTTACGCGGAAAAATGCCTAGCACCGTCAGCAAAAAAAAAAAAATTATTAAAAATTAACGCGATTCTCTAGCGTCTTGGAATTTACAGTTTAATTTCATAAAATTTAATGGGCTATATCTAAAATTTTTCTGAATATTCTGAATAAAAAGTCTAAAAGTGTTGGGTGTAATTGTTTAAGTTGGTTGGATTGCTATAATTTTTGTACGAAGTTTGAAATGTAGATTTGTGTATGTGGTAATGTTACTTAACTTGATGAATTCAGGGATATCATTCACCAATATTTGAAATAGAAGTGGTCCAAAGCTGCTAATGCGAACTGAGTTATATTAGTCAGATAAGAAGAGCAAACCACTTGAGGAGAATAATACTAAGTTTGTAATTGTAGACCTACTCTTCATGAAGACATGCTGATGTGGTAATAAATATGTGCTATTTTCTAGAAAAAAAAAAACAATTGTTCGTATGCAGGGTTTTCGACCGACGTAGGTATGCAAGACTTGTCAATAGCGATTATATATGATATTGTTCATTAAGGAGGGAATCTATCTTCACTAGGAACAGGGTCATTAAGTAGTAACGGAAGAGCTTGAACAGAAAATTGTGCACTTGTGTTCAGGTGGCATGCGACTTAGTATTGCTTGTGGTTGTAGCCATAGACGAGGTAACATATCAGAGCGGAAATATTTTTTAAAGAGATTACAAATTTATTGAAGAGCATAAGAAAAAGGATTTGAGTATTGCACTATGTCCGGAATTCCTGTATTTATCTTTTTGTTATTTAAAAGTTGCCAGAAACGTTGACCACTTACTTTAATTTCACTCTCCATACTTACACCCAAATTTCTAAATGGAAAATTTATATGAAAATGTAATTTTATAGACCACTATAAACCTACTTTATTTTTATGAATAATGCCATTAGAATATAGTTTTGATATAAGAAATTATTTAAAACAACAAAGCCGTTTTTGAATTGGCAGTAAGTTTCCTAGCATTCCACCAACCTGGTTTGGTGACTTTAAATAATAAATATATATATTTAAAAAAAGTCATAATCCTGTGACAATTGAGTAATTTCGAAAGCAGAAGTTTTAGTCGCCGTAAATATTAGTGTAGGCTTTTTACACAATTAAAATAAAACTTAAGCTAACAAACAGCAAATACTATTTTCACCTTAAAAATTCCAGAACACCACGCCAACCAGCGCCAAGGTCTGTTCACGTCAAAGCTTCCCCGTTACCATCACAGAGGTTAGCGAACTGGGAGCCTCATCACTATATGTAAAGTGGGTTATCCACGACTGCTGCGGCATTGGTGGCTACGAGGTAAGTGCGATTAATTCTGTACATATGTATGCTTCCACACTCACTCCTCATCGGCTCGTTTTTGTTTTTCCGCCCACACAGATCTACGTGGATGGCTATTTGACGAATCGTTATTTCAACTGCAATCATGAGGCGGCTGTAGTGTGCGATGTGGATGTGACAAGGTCACATAAAGTCGTATTGGTTGCGCAAACCAAACAAACCGACTGCAGTTGCGGCGACAGCATGGAAAACAAGGGCAAGGAGCTAATGCGTAAAAGCGATGCTGACAAAATGGATAGATCGACTGCTGCGCCACCTTGGTCGCTGTGGACTCCCAGCATTTATTTGTATGATCCATGCGACAGAAAGGATGGACCATCCATCCATTGTGGAACAGTATGACTCCGTAGTGACACCCCAAACCGCCTGCTGCTCCCCCATTGATTTTGGCTGTCCGTGTGTGGGCGCACTTTTTTAATATAAACTTACTTACATTTGTACAGACTTTGCTGAATGTGGAAATGTGTGGAACTATTACAATGGCGTTTGGCAAGGATGCAACATTATATTACCAGAAAATGAGTTAACTCACGCTTGACTAAAATACTCAAAAAAAAACCAAAAAGAAAAACACATAAAATCTTGGGGAAGAACTTAAAAATTAAAATGCTAGTCAGTGAAAATTAAAAGTTAAATCTAAAATATCATAAATCCACCATTGGGCCCAAATTAATTTTTTGTTATGAAAATTACCGATGAGAAAAGAGGATGTATGTAAAAAAAAAAAAAACAAAAAATTTAACAGAAACCTCAATGAGCAAGGCAATGGACCAAAGGAGTTCGAATATGAGTACTTGTTCGTTTTAAAAATTACCAACAACAAAAATATTACAAAATATCTAAAATGCAACAAAAAAAAAACTAGTGCAGTTGAACTGTATGTAAAAATTAGAGTTTTCACGTTGCTCAAATTTGTTATTGGATACATACCGTAACCTGGAAGGGTTTCTATTGAAGAACCGCTTGAAATCACCACTGTCAGTAACTGTTAATATACTTGGGACGCTTGTTTTCAATAACAAATTTGAAGCAACCGAATGAAGTTGAAATAGTTTTACGAACTAGCCGATAGTCTTTTGATTATCCGATTTGTAAAAAAAAAGCAGCATTGCTTGCATTGTTGATACATATTGCATTTGGCAGGCATATTCTCTGCTTATATGGGTATACATATATGTGTACATACATACATATGTGTGTACAAATATGGCAAATTAAAATGATGCAACAGCAGATGAGCGTCCGAAAATGTGTAGTGTATGTGTACGTTTTAATAAATAAAATTTTAATGTTAATTGAAAGTAAAAAAAGTGCCTTAAAAATTAATTTAAACACATTTGTAGAAAGGAAATTAATTAAGCAACATAATATGCAATATGACGCCAGGAGCAACGAGCAATTAATTTAGTTCATACATATATTTCATTTACTTTTAATTTATAGGTACATATTTTTTATTTAAGGTAAATTGCATTCACAAATCAACCCACAAATCGAATATCACAAATCTTAATTATACTTATTGAGTTTTAATGCGAATAACTGTAGATTTTTTTTTTATTTATAAATCTGTGTATATTTAAGTTTGCGTTGTATTTGTTTACGTTATTTTATTTTGTATAATTCATTTTGTAATTACTCGCTACTGTCCACCGTTTTGTTTTACAGCGCTTGTGACCATTTTTTACCCTTTATCAAATGCGCTCCTTCCTCGCTCGCTCGCTCTCTCTTCTGTTGTAAATAAAATACTCTTTCAAACGCCTGTTCATGTGGGCTCGAAAAACTTCATATGTATATCTAAAGATGCTTTTATCAAAAACTCGTTGTGCTACAAAAAAATTGTTCACGAAAATTTGTTTTGCCTTTACATTTACATTTATTTTATATGCTAATGCATTTGGTATTTCTCAACATGCCTAAATGATATATACATATGTATTGTAAATGCATCTTATTGCCTTGGTATACATACGTAGATGTAAATGGATTTACATATATAAATACCTATAAACTTGAAAAATACAAAAAAAAAAAAAAAAACTTTTATTATGTAGTAAAAAGTAAAAGCATTCAACACACACATGTAGAAACTCCCATATTTTTTAAAAGAAAATTGTATAGCGTATGTTTTTGCATGTTACCAGTACATACACATACACGTTTTTACCATTTATATTAAAAGAGAAGATAAAAATATATATAAAAAAAACGTTTTAATTTTGTCAAAAAAAGAAATAACCAAAACAATCACAAATTTTTTCAATAAATTCATAATTTCCTTAAATAAAGAGAATTTGTTTCAATTCAGAGTTAGCAAGCAATAAATATTTGTTGCAAGTACGGAAAGGAGAATGAAAGAAAGAATAATGGATACCATTAACGGCCGACTAGATCCGCTCAAAATTGTAACCTGGCAGATGGCATTATTACGGACTAAGTGGGCGGGGAGTGGTGCGATCGAGTCACACTCCCGCAAAAATTTTATTTCTTTTTGTTTTTCTATTATTTTTTTTTTAGTGAGCTTTTAAAGCTGTATTCTATGTACATATCGGCGGCTGAGTGGAATATTAGGGTTGCCAACCGTTCTGCAATATAGTATACACCCAGAAAAAAGCCAACTAAAAATATTTCTCTCAACTCATGATTTGGTAACTATAACTAAACAATGTAACAATGTAACCAAATTATGTGTTGAGGCAACTGACTTTTTCTGGGGGAAGTATTATTGACTTTTCAAAAGCGAAGCAAAATACATGGACTATATTGCGCTTTCAAAAAAATATTGACAAAATCTACTTTTTGTGTACAACGGCTGAGTGCAGATCGACCCATCTCGGCAACTTTTCAAGAACGCCCTACTTAAGAATTTGATGGAAAAACGCCCTATCTTACATTTTGGTTGAAGAACGCCCAATCTCAGCTCAACCAATATGTGGAACATAAAAGTGCACTGTTGCACACTGTTGGCAAGGTGTGTTCGTCACTTGATCTCATTACCAACGATATTGTCGGTGGTAGTCCTTCGCGTCTTTGTTTGTTATGCAAAACAGACATATGCCTCAATAGGTGAATATTCTTTCTTTACTGCCGGGCGATACTTTGTCCGATCCCCCATCACCTCTTTTGCCTCATTCTGAAATTGATCGCCTAATCGAATATCACGTTTGCCATTAACTGAAAGTAGTACTCTATGTCGTTTTATACAAAACTGAGGTAATCAAGGTTATTAAAAGTGGCGACGATTGCTTGTATGTAAGCATGAGTGTTGATTTACTTATCAAAATCGGGTGAATTATGGATTTGTCGGGCCTGAATCCACATTGACAAAGGTCAATCGGTTTGTTCTTGAAAAGCTAAATGGGATTTTTATGAACTCTTCGTTTTCTTCTTATTTAGCGCTGTAACCGCCTAAGCGATTTTGGCCGACTTCAGCAAAGCCAGCCAGTCGTTTATTTTCTGTGCCAACTGACGCCAGCTGGAAATGCCAAGTGAAGCTAAGTGCTTCTCCACTTGCTCTTACCATGCACTTTTTACTTGCTTAAAAATGCGAATAAAACGTAAACACCCTTCCATTGGAACAACGAGTTCACGACGTCTTAATTATCAAAGAATACATATTTCCGAAACTTTTAAACAATTTTTTTTGTTAAGTTTTGGTATACGCCCAATAAGTTAAGTGATTTGTTTTGATTTACCAGGTCTAGCTACTTCTATACTGAAGAAGATTCTAAAAGAATAGACAGTACAAAAAATTACGTTTTTATAATAAAATTTGAATTTTTTATTTGACACCAATATGTGGAACATAAAAATGCCTTAAAAAAGTTATCTTATTAATTACAAATATTAAACTATCTCTTATAAACTTACATAAATACGTTTTGTAATCTGTTTAAATTACCAGTAAAAAAGTAATTAAAATACGTTTCATATTTAGTATGCCCAAGTGTAAAGGATAACCAGCCATGACCCGAATTGCGACAAGCTTTGGCTATGTTTTTGAAAATCGATTTGGCCGGCGTATTTACCCTTTCATTCAAGAACTTAATTGGATCAGAACTGTCGAAATGTCGGCTTAACCCTTCTGCATACATTAGGTACAAATTAATCAATTTAAAAGAAAAACCTGACCAGAATTAAAACAAACAAATGATTTCCAAAACAAAAGGGCCATCTAGAATTTTGCACGCTCATTTATACACCGCGTGGTCTGGTGGTTAAAATTTTGTGCAGAAGGGTTAACTATGGTACATATATGTAACTGTAAGTGATTGTTATTACATGAATGGTAACGATTGCGCTACCAGATAAATGTGCAAATGTATGTATGGGAATGAAGTGGCCAATAATGATTTTTTTTCTGTATTTAATTTAATATGCAGGGAATGAGTTGAATGAGGAAAGAGTAGGCACATTCTGGTAGCATTGCATTGTATGTACACATGTATGTAAGTATGTATGTATGTATATGTACAATTTTTGTATTTGTAACAGTATTGGCTGATAGTAATGTTTGTTATTGTAGTAAATCATAACATAACTGCTGGTCGCGATTTCTTGAGTTACATATTTTTTGTTTTCATTTAAGTATTTTTCTACTCGCGTCTTTTTTTTTTGCTTAAGCCATGAAATAGCATAAAAAATTAACAGGTATTTGTATTTGTAAATCAAACAACAATGCAGTGAAACTAAAAATAAAATGATTGCGCTATAATTTTGCTGTATTTCTAACTTCGTGTGAATACTTAATGCTCCTCGTTTCCGATCTCTCCTCGTTGCCCGCTATCTATCTTCGTATGCACGGCTGACAAGTTCCAGGCACTACAAAGGCTGGGTGACACTCTGGACATTTTGGGTTTTCACCAAACCAATGTCGATGATCCTCGAGCTCATCGTCGCCGTGCTCGGGTATCTTCAGTTGAAAGGAGTTGTACGAATCCGCAGATAAGTAGCCAGTGCGACCCATCGGCTCCAGCGGGAACAGATACTCAGGCACGGAGTAGTCTTTGCGCAATTGTGTGATGTCCGATGCTGGGGCAGACACGGTGTCCGAACGATCCGTCGCCACTGCCGTGGTTGTGACTGCCTTTGGTTTTTCAGCGTTCACCTGAAAGACACTGTTTGGCTGCCCCGTCTCTTTAATGGAACGCGAGATAGGCGTGCGGTCAGTAGGGCCATTCTCAGGCGCCGCTTTCGTTGGTGTCGATACGTTGTTGTTGGTGTTCTGCGGCTTTTCATCCGTTGTTGCATCGCCGCTGGCGCCACTAATTGTATTGTAATCGATAACTACTTCCGGGTACTCGCGCCCATCTACGCCTATTGGCGGATCCAGCTTAGGTGGTTCGAGGCCGTTAGATGGCGCTTTCCACTCGTAGTAGATAGGCGGTCCCTGTGTAGTGGCCGTATCATGTTGAACGAATTCTTGGTAAGGTGGTAGCAGATCCTTGGCTGGTGGCTTGGCGTCTTCGCTTGCGATCGTGTTCGTCGTATTAATGAATGTTGTCGGGAAATTTAGCCGATTTGTCGTGGGAACGCTGTAGTCAAATGGGGAGTTTTCCACCTTTTGCGTGGCAGTTGTCGGCGTTTTGGTGGTGCTTACAGGTGGGCGTGGTGTGGGCGGTTTGAAGCCTTGCGCTGGTGTGGGAGTGCGCACGTCCTTAGTGCTTTGGCTAAAGCTGTTCTGAAGCAAATTGTTCTGGTTGCGCCCGCCAAAGTTCGGCGCTTTTGTTGTGATGCCACGTGCAGTAAAGGGTTTGCCTGCTAGAGTAGTGGGCCGGTTTGGTGGTGGTACTGGAGTTGTAGGTGTGAATTTGGCAATCGCGGGTGAGGAAGTGAACGGCGTGGCCGGGGAGGTACGTACTGGCGTTTTAGTGCTGAGCGTGTCGTTCTCGTTATAGACAGGATAAAGGAAGGGAGGCTCATATACCTTCGATGGTACTTTTACAGCCGCATCCGTCGTAACTGCAGCGTTGTTGGCAGGTGTGAGTGGTTTGGTTGGCGGGAATATGCTTGGTGCTGTGCTAGAGACTGTGGGCGCGATAGCACGGAATGAACTGCGGCTACTTTTACTAAAGGAATTCGACGATTTGCTGATTGTTTGCTCAGATGAATTGAAATCGGCCGATGTGTTGTAGCGCGTGCTGTGACTCGTTCCCAGATCATCGTGCTCACCGGTTTGGACGCGCTGATGTAGAGCAGCATTGTTAAAGCGGTTGGTTGGTTGGCTACGCGGATCTGGCTTATTGGATGGTAGCGCGGTTGTCACCTTTGGACGAGAGAAGCTCGGCTTTGTTGTGGGTGGTGGCGTTGGCTGCACAGGTTTAGGTACAAACCGGACATTGCCTGCACTAGTTTGTGAAATGGTATCATCTGAGGTCTGCGCTTCGTAGGCGGGCGGCAATATCGTGCGGCTAGGCGGTGGTATTTTCCAGTGCTGTTGGCCAGGCGATGGTTGTGCGGCAATATTAAATTTGTCCTGTACCTTTTGAGTGTTGATGTCTTGAATTTGATTCTGAGCCGCAGGAAGTTGCTTATATTGGTTTCTGAATGACTCGCCAGAGTAGTCCGGCGCATAAGGACGATCCAAGAGATCTGGACGTGGTGTGCGCAAACTGTTCTCCTCATCATTTACGAACGGCTTGTCACGTTGGCCTGCAAAAGGGTAAAGTATTGAAATAAGATTTGCACATTCTACGCTTCATTATATGTATTATTCGTATGTATTTTTCTATAACTATTTATAACCGTGTATCTGCCTCTTCTTACTCACCAATCAATAAGTTAGCTGCATAATTGCTTTCTGCCCGTGAGCAATTCACCATATACCAGTGATCACAGATCAACATGCGCTGCTGGAAAAGCGTAGTATTGGGACAGGAATAGCTGAATTGGCGCCCCAAGCCATCGCACATGTGGTACACCTGTATGAATATTGGATTTTAATTACATAATATTTATTTGTGGCAGCAATGCTTAAATTGCTGACAAAGTAATTGTAAATGCATGTGATCAGCTTATGGCAATTTTGAGAGCATAAATAAACTCCACAGAAATGAGTATGTGTATGTACCTGACATCCGGTTTCAACATCAGCATAATATCCGGCCGGGCGTCCAGAGCAGGAGAATGAGGTTTTATCAAACACGCGATGTGCGCCGATAGCATTTTCACTCTGAAAGTAAAAGCATACAATTATTTCTTAATAAAAAGCGGAAAAGGCGCTTGCTAAATAAATAACTGCTAGACTTGCTAATTACTATGTTCATATGAATATTTAGCTAAAGCTGGCTAAGCTTTGAATACGTGCTTAATAAAGCCTGAGTATATTTTAGGAATTCAATGGAAGATTTTTAATGAAATCCTGCAATGGCTTTAAGGTACTCTAAACGGCAAGCCATTTTTTGCGACCTTTGCAAGGCAGGAAAGGAACTGTCGCTCCTACGTAAGCGGTGTAGGCATTAAAGCAATCCCTCCTTCTACCCTGGAAACTTCTCTCACCTGGAACGACTTTCGCATTACTTCAAGGTAGAGAATCCAGAATGGATCCTAATTGATCAGTATCAACTCTCCCTGCGTTCTGGACCGCTATGTTTGAAGCCAGCATCTAGCTATTGGCTCGTCTTTCCTTCGTAAAAAGCTCAGGGCGTTGCAACTGTTTGCCAGTTCACCGCTCATTTATACGGTTACATTTCCCGATTTTTCGATCCAAGGATACTTTGCAATGGTTAGGCATTAGAAAATACAAACTTTGATCTTGGAATTTCCATTTATTTCTTCCGGAATTTCACACCCACCATCTGCTTAGCTTTTCTGGATTATTAGAGAGCCAGAATAAGTGTTCTACAAGGCGGTTTCTTCTAGTCCCTATTCTAATTAAATATGTGTGATAATAATGATTTGCCACTCGTTGCATCTTGATCTAAAGTGATCAGCTGGGTAATCGGTAATGTGTAAGCGATACGGACTGCATGGCTCCGTGTCAGCCTTGGGAAGAGGATTCCAGTTTATAACATCCGGCATAAGTAAATATCTAAACAGATGGCTAAAACATTTGGAACGAAGTGTGAGCTGGAGTCAATTGCAAAGAGATGGGCATTAGCATGACTTTAAAACTGAAAGTGGATCACCTATAAAAATACAACCACGCATAAAAGTATTTTCCNGCGAATTAAATTGGGAAGAGGATTCCAGTTTATAACATCCGGCATAAGTAAATATCTAAACAGATGGCTAAAACATTTGGGACGAAGTGTGAGCTGGAGTCAATTGCAAAGAGATGGGCATTCGCCTTACTTTAAACCTGAAAGTGGATCACCTATAAAAATACAACCACGCATAAAAGTATTTTCCATTTTTTTAAGATATTCGAAATGTTTTCCATGGTAAATTGCTTTCGTTTCTTAAAGCATAAACAGACGGCAGCGTTGATCCGGATCAACTCGGGAATTAACTGCCGTTGATCCGTATTAAGTCCGGATCAACGCTGCCATCTCTTTAAGCTTTAAAGCTCATTCTACAACAAAACCCATATAAATTAAGGTTTCAAAATTTGGAGAAGACTAAAGAAAAGTCAGAACATTTTCATGAAAATTTCAAGCTTTTTAATCCAAAGAAACTGCTCAACACCGTCAGCAAAAACAGTATGAGTCTGCAGTTTGGTAGCGCATTTGATTTTAGTATTACAATGCAAGTTTTAAGCGGCTACAAAATCGCGTTGGTTTCTGAGAACTCTTTTCTTTGGTGANTATTTTAAGCGGCTACAAAATCGCGTTGGTTTCTGAGAACTCTTTTCTTTGGTGACGGATTTTTTCATTTTCCGATATAAGATAATAAGCATGAATTTCTTATAGAAAAAAAAATCGTTTGCAAAGAAAATTAATAAAAAATCAACGCCAATTTTTATAAATTGCATGTGTTGTATGAAAAAACGCCCTCGAAAGCCTCCAGCAAAAAAAAAAAAAATATTAAAAATCAAGCCGCCTAAGGCCGAGGCCACGCAAAGAGCGGCAAAGCGGTGAGCGGCTTAAAATTAAAACATATGATATACTACACTGGTCGACGGCCA